AAAGGGTGTTAGCGGGATGCAGTGGCTCATGCCTGTAATCCCAGCACTTTGGGAGGCTGAGATGGGTGGATCATCTCAGGTCAGGAGTTCCAGAGCATCCTGTCCAAGAGATGGCGAAACCCTGTCTCTACTAAAAATACAAAAATTAGCTGGGCCTGGTGGCATGTGCCTGTAGTCCCAGCTATTTGGGAGGCTGAGATGGAAGAACTGCTTGAACCCAGGAGGCACAGGCTGCAGAGAGCCGGGATTGTGCCACCATACTCTATCCTGGGTGACAGAGCAAGACTCTGCCTAAAAAAGAAGAGGAAGAAAAAAAAGCTATTCTGCCACCTGCCACCAGTGAGGTGGTGACACCAGAATATGACATCAGCATTCACAGGCACGCCCATGGAGCGGACTGTAAGCAGCATGCCCCTTCGGCCTTGGGCACTCAAAGAGACCCAGAACTTTGCCATAAACAGATGGGGATTCCAGACGTGCTAACACTAGGCTCAAGAAAGCTGTCTGGGCCGAAGGAATAAGGAACGTTCCATACCATATCCACGTGCCGCTGTCCAGAAAGCATAACGAGGATGAAGAGTCACCAAACAAACTCTATTCTGGTTACCTGTGTGCCTATTGCCACTTTCAGAAACTGGCAGCCAGTCATTGTGGATGAGAACAAACTGTGGATTGTCACATAAAATTATAAAACTGCAGAAATGAACACATGAATGAATAAATAACTGTCCAAGTGGCAGCAGCGTGGGCAGCTGGCTCGTGCTACGCGGAGGAACTTCTGTCTGAACGCTACAAAAGGGAGTTACAGATAAAAGGCCAGGGCCCTCAGACCTTACAACCCTCAGGGATTAGGGGCAGGGAGAATTAAGCAAAGGTCTACATATGGAGTGTTGTAAACCTTATGCTCTCTTTCCCTGCCCTGATCTCAGAATCCTGGCAGCCAGGCCCAAACGAAAGACCTCCAGATTTCAGCATTTAGGTCACCCAATAGGCCAGGTTCACCATCAGCCTGACCTCCTATACAGTAAAGTCCAATGTTCAATAAACCTTAACAACTACACAGAACATTTAATTAGCTTTTAGGACTTCATTCTTTTTTTTTTTTTTTTTTTTTTGAGACGGAGTTTCACTCATGTTACCCAGGCTGGAGTGCAATGGCGCGATCTCGGCTCACCGCAACCTCCGCCTCCTGGGTTCAGGCAATTCTCCTGTCTCAGCCTCCTGAGTAGCTGTGATTACAGGCATGCACCACCATGCCCAGCTAATTTTTTGTATTTTTAGTAGAGACGGGGTTTCACCCTGTTGACCAGGATGGTCTCGATCTCTTGACCTCGTGATCCACCCGCCTCGGCCTCCCAAAGTGCTGGGATTACAGGCTTGAGCCACCGCGCCCGGCCTAGGACTTCATTCTTAAAATATCCTCAGACAGGCCAGGCGCAGTGACTCATGCCTGTAATCCCAGCACTTTGGGAGGCTGAGGTGGGCAGATCACGAGTTCAGGAGATCAAGACCACCCTGGCTAACACAGTGAAACCCCGTTGCTACTAAAAATACAAAAAATTAGCCAAGTGTGGTGGCATGTGTCTGTAGTTCCAGCTACTTGGGAGGCTGATTCAGGAGAATCGCTTGAACCCAGGAGGCTAAGGTTGCAGTAAGCTGAGATTGCACCACTGCACTCCAGCCTGGGAGACTGAGTGAGACTCTGTCACACACACAAAAAAGAAATTCTCAGACAGCCAAGGATGTTTGGGATGGGATTTCGGTATGAAAAAACAGATCAAAACAAACAATTAAAAAATGCTCCTGGAAAAAAGGGAAACAGCAATGCTGTTAACACGGTTAAAACAAACAAGCAGTCCTTCACGAGAAGCCCCTGGTTGGTTGCTATCCAAGTGGTGCTTCCTCATCACGGCCACTGCCATGCTCAGAGGTCTGTTTCTTGGGGACGTGGCTCCCAACTTTGAGGCCAATACTACCATCGGCTGCATCCATTTCCAGGAACTTTCTGGGAGACTCATGGGACATTCTCTTTCCCACCCTCAGGACTTTACCCCAGTGTGCACCACAGAGCTTGGCAGAGCTGCAAAGCTGGCACCGGAATTTGCCAAGAGGAATGTCGAGCTGACTCCCCTTTCAATAGACAGTGTTGAGGAAGGCCTTGCCTGGAGCAAGGTCACCATTGCTTCCAATGGTGAAGAGCCCAGAGAAGTCACCTTTTCCTATCATCGATGATAAGAATCGGGACCTTGCCATCCTGTATCCAGCAGAGAAGGATGAAAAGGGCGTGCCTGTGACAGCTCCTGTGGTGGTGTTTGTTTTCGGTCCTGATAAGTCGCTGAAACTCTCTATCCTCTACCCAGCTACCACTGGCAGCAACTTTGATGAGATTCTCAGGGTATTCATCTCTCTCCAGTTGACAGCAGAAAAGAGGGTTGCCACCCCAGTTGACCGGAAGGATGGGGATAGTGTGATGGTCCTTCCAACCATCCCTGAAGAAGAAGCCAAAAGACTTCTCACAAAAGGAGTCTTCACCAAAGAGCTCCCATCTGGCAAGAAATGCCTCCGCTACACACCCCAGCCTTAAGTCTCTTGGAGAAGCTGGTGCTGAGAGCCAGAGATGTCAGCTGCCAATCATATTTTCCTGCAGCAGTTCCATAAAAACATCCTGGTGTCATCACAGCCAAGGTTTTTAGGTTGCTATACTACTTGCTTATTAAATGAAAATGTCACTAAAAGTTTCTTGGGATTCTTTACTCTCTGCTTTCACCCGCACTCAATTCTGTTCATACATCAGCACTCTCTACTGGTTCTCTTTGAAATATGTTCTGTATTTAAAACTCAACTATTGTTGGATCTCTGCAGGGCTTGTGATCAGTGAGGTCATATCGGTTGATGGCTGAGAAAGCTTGTTTCACTCCATCAGAGAATGACTATCAATTTTTAAAAATTGTCCTATCACATCCTCTTTTCTGTCACCCATTTTGAAGAGCTGCAGAACTCGAGGTTCAACTTCCTCTGTAAATATCCAAGTATAAAACCCAGGAACTTAGAGTAGCCCAGATGCTCTTTAATATTCTGTGTTTTGATCACAGCTGAGAAAAAAGCTTTTTAATTCTGTACATTTCTAGTAGATAACTGAAATGAAGAGCAGGGGAAGAGATCTGTACATATTTTGCTATAAAAAAATTGTGAAAAGTTTCTATCAAAATGGAGAGACTACAGAAAAGGCTTTCCTTGGCTTGCAAGGAGGTGTAGCAGGTGTGAGCAATACTAGTGCCGTGTGCCTTTCACACAGGGTTTGCATGTATCAGTCTGCTTTCTGATGATGTGCACCATGTGAAGAGAAGAGAGAATGATTGAAAATGTTTTATTAGAGAACTCTTCTTGCAGTGGGTTGCTATTTTCTGGATTTTACTTTTTAGGAAAAAATAAAATCCTTTGTTAAAACTAGAAAACAAACAAACAAACCAAACAAGTAAAATGATTATAGCCCCAAAGAGATACGACACTGCATCTATAAGAAGGGCGGGGCACCGCGGACAAATAAGCAGGCAGAGAATGAAAACTGAAACTTGAAACTCAATAGAAGTTCTATTGAATAAAAATTCAGTAGAAGGATTAGTCTATGAAATTGAGGACATTTCTCTGAAAGTAGAACAACAGAAATAGGAGAAAATATATGATTATTAGAAACTCAATTTAGGAAACAAAATATGATTGACTAGATTTCTAGAAGGAGATTAATGAAAAAACAGAAGGAAGAAATTATTTTTTAAGAAAGGAAAAAAAGAAAGAAAACATTCTGGAAGTGAAGGACACATATTTCCTGAAAATGTAGAGAAACTCGAACTGTTTTTCCCCTGCCCTCACATCACCACAACAATCAACAGAAGACTTCTGTGACTACATGTTGGGGGTGGTTTCTTCCCACCACCAAGCTAGCAATCAGTTCTGCAGCAGGCACCAACTGGGTGTTCTCCAAATTAATTCTGACACTATTTACAGATAGCATCAGATCCCACAGGTTGAGTGCTCAGTCCCCAAGACTACCCACCCTCTAGACATCAGTCTTAAGTCCAGGCCTCCAGAACGTCTAAGACCAACTGGCTTCAATTTGAGGTTCTCATGCTTGTCTCTTTCAGTTCAATTAATTTGCTAGAGCTACTCAGAGAACTCGGAAACACATTTACCACTTTATTTTAAAGATATCACAAATAATACAGAAGAAAAAAAATGCAGAGGGTGAGGTACAGTGGAACGAGTACACAGCTTCGATGCCCTCCCCAGGTGCGCCCTCCTCCCCAGGTGCTCCCTCCTCCCCAGGTGCTCCCTCCTCCCCAGGTGCTCCCTCCTCCCCAGGTGCTCCCTCCTCCCCAGGTGCGCCCTCCTCCCAGGTGCGCCCTCCTCCCAGGTGCTCCCTCCTCCAGGAACCTCCACATGTTCCACTACCTGGAAGCTCTCTGAACCAGGTTTTTTTGAGTTTTTATGGAGGCTTCACGTGAGCATGACTGATTAAACCACTGTCTATTGGTGATCAACTTAACCTTCACTCCCCTCTCCCCTTCCCAGATGTGAGGGGGAAAGGAGTGGGGCTGAACATCCCAGCCCTCTAATCCTACCTTGGTCCTTCCTGTGACCAGCCCCCATCCGGAAGCCGCCTAGAGGCTGCCAGCCATCAATGAATCCTTAGTATATAAAAGATACCATTTTGGAGATTCTAAGGATTTTAGGAGTTTCTATGCCAGAAAAAGGGGTTGAAGACCAAATACATATTTCACAGTATCACACTGCTGAATTAAAAAGGGTACTAAATGGCCTGCACAAAAACAGTAACAAAGACCCCAAATTCTGAAACTGTTGTAATATCAGCAATAAAAAGAAGATGCAAACCCTGTGTGAAAGGCATATGGCACTAGTATTGCTCACACCTGCTACACCTTCTTGGAAGCCAAGAGAAGCCTTTTCTGCAGTCTCCCCATTTGATAGAAACTTTTCACAATTTTTTAATAGCAAAATATTTAAAAGTCTCTTCCCTCCTCTTCGCTTCAGCTGTCTACTAAAAAGGTACGGAATTTAAAATGAGCAAGCAGAGCAGACCAAGGCCCTGAATTTTGAAACTGCTGCAATATCAGGAATAAAAAGAAGTTCCTAAAAGTTTCCAGAGAGAAAAAAAGTGTCAAAAAAACAGATAAGAAACATAGTAACACTGACTTTCTTAGCATATGTACCATTTACTAGAAGGCAATGCTTTCAAAATTCTGAGGGAAAATTATCCTTAACACAGACTTTTCATACCCAGCCACATTATCAAAAAAAAGGTACGAGGGTAGGTTAGATATTTGACACGAAAAGACTTAACATGTATGTTCCTGATATACACATAGATGTACATATGTATGTAGATCAGGAACATACATGATGTGTGTGTGTGTGTGTGTGTGTGTGTGTGTCTATATCCATCCTCACACATATGCTTAGAAAATTACAGGAGGATATGCTCCAGCAAAATGAGGGAGTAATCCCTGAGGAAGAAGATACAACATCCAGGACAGGAGAGATTTGACCATGACAGGATGTCAGTTCTCGTCTAGACACAGGTCTAGATAGCACAAACCTGGTTGGGGCTGGAGAACAGAGGGCTCTAGGAGGAAGCTATCTGGGGAAACAGGGGACGGAATTGATGGAATATCTGATGATTTGGCAGGGAAAATGATATGACAAGTGTGATAGAAAACAACTAACTACATGAAAAATCATACAAGTAGGCCGGGCGTGGTGGCTCAGGCCTGTAATCCAAGCACTTTGGAGGTCAAAGTGGGTGGATCACCTGAGGTTGGGAGTTCAAGACCAGCCTGACTAACATGGTAAAACCCCATCTTAAAAAAAAAAAAAGAAAGAAAAATTATACAAGTGAAAAATTAAAACAATTATTATCTCTGGGGCAGGAGGGGAGGGGTGTGTATCAGAAAAAATATATAATCAAAGTACATTGCTGGCCGGGTGCAGTGGCTCATGCCTGTAATCCCAGCACTTTGGGAGGCCGAGGTGGGCAGATCAGGAGTTCAAGATCAGCCTGGCCAATATGGTGAAAACCCTGTTTCTACAAAAATAAAAAATAAAAAAAATTGGCCTGGTGTGGTGGCTCATGCTTGTAATGCCAGCACTTTGGAAGGCTGAGGTGGGTGGATCATTTGAGGTCAGGAATTCGCAATCAGCCTGGCCAACATGGTGAAGCCCTGTCTCCACTAAAAATACACAAATTAGCTGGACATGGTGGTGCATGCCTGTAATCCCAGCTACTTGGGAGGCTGAGGCAGGAGAATTCCTTGAGCCTGGGAAGTGGAGGTTGCAGTGAGCTAAGGTCACGGCCACTGCACTCCAATGTGGGCAAAAGAGTGAGACCCTGTCTCAAAAAAATAAATGAATAAAATAAATAAATTGCCTGGGTGTCTTGGCTCACACCTGTAATCCCAGCACTTTGGGAGGCTGAGGTGGGAGTGTCACCTGAGGTCAGGAGTTCCAGGTCAGCCTGGCCAACATGGTGAAATCCCATCTCTGCTAAAAATAACAAAAATCAGCTCGGTGTCATGGTGCACACCTGTAGTCCCAGCTCCTTGGGAGGCTGAGGCAGGAGAAGCACTCGAACCTGGGAGGTTGCAGTGAGCTGAGATCATGCCACTGCACTCCAGCCTGGGCAACAGTGAGACTCCATCTCAAAAATAAGAAAAAAAAAAGAAAAGAAAGAAAGAAAAGAAAGGAAAGAAAGGTATTCGGCCTCTTCATCACTTGTCCCGGACTGCAGCGACTCCGATGGTAACTTGAGTCT